AGACATGCTTTAGATGTACATTGACAGCATACATCTGTCTAAATTTTAAGATATCTTGATATTGACCAAGTCGATTTACAAAGCGCAGAGTGAAGCTTTACACGACCTCTACGTGTTTCTTACCCAATATAATCTTGGAAATGTGTACAATAAAGACCTGATGGATTTACCTTTCTCCTTATTAACTACATACAGCCAAATGAGTACATATAAACCACAAGTGGAAAGAAAAAATATCCAAAACTTAGATATCCAAACACAAGAATCTTTAAAACTTGAGTCGAATGACAATCTAATCTGACTTATTGAAATGAATCAATCTCAACCCTATTTTTTAAAAAAAATTCTTACTTGACCGGGACGATATTCTTTTACCATTTACCATAATACACAGTGTATATAGTATAAAATATAGTGTGGCAAATACAGTGTATATGCCAATGCCAACTCTAAATCTTCACACTGTGAACGTTAATTGCTTCTCGACTTCCTGATTGGAATCAACAACTTTCGTACTCAAACCGTCTACTGATCTCACAATTTATTACAATAGATTTCAATGCAAATCACAACTATTAACTTTCATTTTCCTAAGCTTGATGCCCCAGCTATTGCAAACTTTTGCAATAGCTGGGGCATCAAGCATCAGACGCATCAGACGCATCTAGGTGATAGAGGATTCGTCAGCGTTGGGAATCGGCCACGGTCAATGTCAGCAGCAGGGGGAATAATATTTTGCGATGACCATCCAATAATATTTCGGTGGTGCATCGGTAGGAGGCAAGAGCAAGGCAGCGGACACTGCCTCATGAGAACAAAAGCAAAGGAGACGAGACCAGAGCGCGAGAGAGGAAGAGGAAGACAAAGGAAAACAGCGGGGACCGAAGATGGTGAGGATGATGAGAATGCTCGTGGATCAGGGACGCAGGACGTCGCAGAACCTGCGATGGGTGCGCCATTTGGCGAACAACACGGATCTCAAGTCGCGATGGGAGCAGCTGATCCTCGAAGAGCAAGCGCGCTTGAAGGATTTGAAGACCAATCATGTGTACATGACCAAATCCTTGTTGGTACATGGAAACCGATGATGACGCCAAAGCTGCATCCACTTGTGAAATATACATAATCCCATTCTGTCTGGAGTCGAAAACATGTTTTGGTTGCATGAGCATGTAAATTTTTTCTATTAGAAGGTGTGGCATTGTAGTCACCTCATGCCACGAAGTTGTCTCCGAATTCTGTTTCCATGTATCCACTTTGAGCCATTCTTTTCGCTATGTATAAGCTTTTCCTATTAGAACAATCGAAGATAAGGAGACAAGTCGAGGTTATTCAAGGAGACTTCTAAGATACAGTATGGACTGAGTTTGAACAAGACACTAAAAATGATGTTCTTTAGAAATCAGTGTTATCATATCCATTGATGAATGGTTTATGATCACGCGATTTCCAAAAAGCACCATATTCATCCGATTCACCGATGAATCTTGTATTTTGAGAAAACGGCGTGTTGCTTGATACTTTTAGTTTTTGAGCCTCACTTCCTCCTCTTCGAGCTGCACATCTTGAGTTTGTGCACAGTTTCTGAGCTTCACCTCCTTCTCGAGTATGGATGTAGAAATCGTCAGGTACAAGTCTGAAGATCGCGGTAAGTTTCTTGGTTTTGCTGTAACAGTTGTAGAGAATGTAAACCACTTGCCAATCACTAGAGTTTTTATGGTTTTTTACAAACCTACACATGTGATCTGATATCCTCAACATGTGGAGGTATCAGATCCACGTCCGGCATAATAAAGCTTGAAAGCAATCACCTTTGGCCAAGATCTGGATTCCGTACCGCGAGTTCCCGAGGCACCGTTTCCACATTCCTCAAAATGCGTGTCTCTGATAGATGAAGTTCAGCACTCAGTAACAGTTTTGGCAGATGGGGGAATTCTTGGACTCTTCTGATGACAGCGACGCAATTCTTGGACTCTTCGGGTGACAGGTTTCCATAAGAGGTACTTGCGCTCATACTTTTACTGCGGACATGATAAATGTACCATATGTCATGGCGATCAACCTCCATTGGGCGGAAGTAGGTTGTGAGCTGGGATTTGTCAATGGGAGCTGGTTCCATCGCTGCCTGGCAGAAACGGGAAGAATCGAAACGACGAGCGCTCTTCCGACAAAAAATGTCAATCCCGTTGGTGACCACCAAACACGGCCCGTCTGCGTCGCAAGAAGAAAATGCCACTGAAGACTGACTTTTGAGAAGAGGATTTTTTAGAATCGAAGTCTACGAATGAGAGACTAATTTACATCGTAGTTTACTAAAATATTCATGAAAACATGCAGTGGAAGAGAATCTATGGTCGTCCTTAAAAGTCATGAACTAATGCTCATGGTCACCCACGAGATCGAGTGCGGATCTGTGTTGCACCCCACTGCATGTGGTAAAGCTTTAAGTATTCTCCATGTCCTTTTCCAGTGCTTTCAGAAGTTCAGAGCAGTATGAGGTCACATACATCAGTTGACCTCCTCTTCACACCAACTTGAACAGTCCATTCACAAAAAAAAAGACAGTCCGGTAGATGTAAAAGCATACGAAGTCAAGTCATTGTCATTGAACAGACAGCTCGAGATGTTAAATTTATTGCTATCTTAGCTCCTCAGAAAGTGAGAATTTCTGAATGCAAATTCACTCGGTTATCTTTATTAGAAACAACACTCGAGAATCCATCTAGTCCAGAAGATGTATGACTTGGTTTCGAAAGATCTCATTGAAATATCTGAACTCTGTAAAGCTAGAACCACTTGCGGATGGTGATAGTGCTATACATGAATGCAATGAAGAAACATGGCCAACACCTCGAGTCGACATATCTTGTGCACTGTCCTATGATGTTCACACATGGGATACAATAGAACTGTAGGTAAAATGAAGCAGGCTATGCACTTCGATTCTGCTTACTTCCGAGCCAGAGCTGCAGACACTTTTGCTGTAAAGTTCTCGACATTCAATTTTGTTGCAGATATGTGTTTCTACAAGCATATACCCTCCTGGTTGCACACGAATGTGACTGCCTGTTACACTGCAGGTTGAATTCATGTTGCATAAGCGCTTGCAAGATGATGAAATATTGGAATTGCAGTTTCTTCACCTTGACAGGTCAAATTGATGGCCAAGACTTCTAGTCAAGGCAGTCAAGATTACTCTCACTCTGAGAAATTTGGCAACGGTACTCAGTAGATCGTGACAATTGCAATGTCAAAAAGCAGGATTGATTTCTCCTGATAGCAAATATCAGCAAAATTGTGAAGAAATAGCTTCCTGTAAATGCAAAGATTGAAAAAAATGCCAAAAAAAATTTGTACAGGAATGCGTCTTGGAGTTTATAAGCTTCATCACAAGTGATTATGTGAAAAATTGACAAACTTTATATGTTGTAGTTTGATTTTGACTTTGTTTACAATCTGATATTAGTTGAGTCTAATTGCAGGGTTGAATTTTTTCTATGACATCGGAATGCAAATTAGCTGCCAAAATGACAGATAATTCAATTCTGTTTTACCCACTTTACTGATACCCTTTTGTAAATGTCCTACGCAGAGACTCTAACAACTGTCAGAGAGAAAAGAGAAAAACTTTACATAAAGACAATCTCTTGTGGGCCATGATCACATAAGGATTGAAAGATTATGTTAAACGGGTGTAAGTGTATCTGCACAAGTATCCAGATTTATCAATATCTTCTATCTTTAGGGTTTTGAAAAGCTCTTTATGAAAGTTATTGAAACTGAAAATTAGTTTGTTAAAGTATTCCAGTAGACAAGAAAATGACAGTCTATATATTTTGTGTTTGGATTACTTATCTGTTGATCGGACTTCTCTCTTCTGAAGATGGAGGTGAGCATCTATATTTTCTTGATTTGTTTATCTGAATCAGATGAACTCTCACTCTATATTTTCTTGATTTGTTTATCGAGGCTGATGTAAAACTTTTTTAAATGAAAGTTAAAATCTTCTGCTTCTGACTTCTTTTAATACTTACTTTTGAAACTTGATAGAAGTTATCATAGAAGAAGTAATTTAGGGAGATAAGGGCTCTTCAATTAATCAGCCGAAAGATTCCAATTTTAGACAAAAAAAGTATCATCATAATATTACTCCTCTAGCAAATAGGATCCTTGAATCCATTAAACAGTATTCCAGTAAAAATTTATAAAACGAACATTTAACAATAAAACTTTGGCAACTATATCTGAATATATATATATATATATATAAAAAATTTGAAAAGGTGAAAGGGTCACCTGCTAAACATAAGGATGACTTGTTCACTCTCTGCTGATAACTTGAAGAGCACTTATCTGCCTTAAATTAATCTTTCATGTCAAAAACTTTCAAGCTTCAAAAGTAAGGATGGAAAAAAGTCAAGAGGAGAAGATCTTAAATTTCAATACAAGACGTTTTGAATCAGCCTAGATTAAGACATCAAAAAATATGGATGCTCTTCTCCATTTGCAGAAGAGAGAAGTTGGATTAACGGGCAGGAAATCCAAACATAAAGAATACAAACTTTGAATTGTATTTTTTGTCCAGTAGAAAAATTTAACAAACTAATATTTTTTTAACATGACAAAGAGCTATTTGAAACCCTAAAGACGGAGTATATTGAAACCTCTTGATACTTGTGAAAACACACCTTCAAGTTTTCAACATAATCTTTGAACTCTAATGTGCTCATGCTCACAAAATATCATCTTTCATTCTCTCTGACATTTGTCAAAGAGAATCACTTAAAAGGGAATTGATAAAATGAAAAAAAAATTAAATTGAACGGTCTGTCAAAAAATATGATCTGTACACTTTGGCAGCTAACTTACATTCTCAAATCAGAAAAAAGGAGAAAATTCAAAGTTGAGATTAAAATCAACTAGCATCAAATAACATCAGATTGAAACCAAAGTCAAAAGCAAACAATAATATAGAAAGTTCGTGCATTTTTCACATAATCGCTTGTGATGAAGCTTATAAACTCAAAGATGCACAATTTCTTTGGCATACATTGCAATCTTGGCATTTCCGGTAAACACTTTCTTTATAATTATGCTAATATTTGATATCAGAAGAAATCGATCCTGCTCTCTTACATTGGATTTGTCACGGTCTCCTCCGCCAGCATTGCCAAAATCGTCGGAATGGGAATTGTACTGACTGCCTGAACTAGAAGTCACGGCCATGAATACAACCTATTAAGGTCAAAAAACGGCATGTCAAATATTTCATCATCTTGCAAGCGCTTATGGAACATGTATTCAACATGCGGCTTTAGTGATAATCAGTTGAATAAGCAGTCACATTCTTGTACAACTAGCGCATGTATTCTACGTGTTGCTATTCGTACAACATAGTCCCGCGCGTGTCTTTCTTTATCTTTGTCCACTGATATCAACAGATAGTGTTGCAGTGACAAGAGCCGAAGAGAAATGATTGAGTAAGATGAACTTAGCAAACAGTTTGTTGGAGAAATAAACAAGAAAAGATAAAAACAAAGTTTGAAATTTGTTGAAATCTGTCGAATGGAGGAGAAAGAGCGACTCACCCCCAACCAGTTTTGAATATATATATTCGTACAATGCATGCTTATTTCTGTCTACAGAGGAATCCGAGTGGATGGCCCACAAAGAGTTAACAGATTAAAAACGAATTGCAAAATCCAATCCAATCCGTGCCTCCCTTCTTTCTGTCTTCACCCCTGCCCTGTTTACAACTACCCATTCGCTTGCAATATGTGTGCTCTTAACAATATAGAAACTGATCTATACTTTTGGCTTGCTCGGAAGCAAGACTGCATTGGAAGATATGAGATCCTGGTGAACTGGAACTTTCAAAGTTTCTTCAAGACAAAGTACCACTTGAAAGAGAAAGATATTGGAATGATCGGAGAGGAACTGATGAAAATGCATGCTGCACAAGACACTGTGATAGAAAAAATTCTGGAGTTTGTAAAGTCCTGGAAGAAGTTGAAATCGCTAAGAGAACTACTGAAACTTGGAGGCTACAGTTGGAGGAGAAGCATAGACGAGGTACCGAATCACTATCCTCTACAGTATCGTAAAAAATCAGTCAAGCTGTGCAACTTGTTCTTCAGTGATTCTGATCGGCCATGCTAATCTAGCGCAGTTTGACCGCTTCATCCTTTAAAATGGACAGACAGCTGGTCTCTGTTCCCTAAACGTTCTTGTTGCCTTTCCGAGCAGACTGTTGCTTCTCTCTGATCCCTTGACTTCGTAGATCATGAGGTCTACTCATCTGATTAGCTTCACACCACTAAAATCGAATCTGAAATCTGAGCCGATACAGGTTAATTGTGTCGTAATCTGAAGTCAATTCACCCTTTAATAAAAATCACTAACCCCCCTTAGCTCCGCCACTGGGTACCAGATCGTTCACACAATTTCCACATTGGACTCATTTGTTTGAATGTATTTCTGTGAGAAACGATGCAGATTAAGTTGGGCTTGGATTTAGTATACATACACAAGCAACTACACAGGAAGCACCTAGATGGTCAGGTGAAATGAATCAAGAAAAATGAAGTATGCCTTCGAATTAAAAGTTATATATTTGCTTCTGCTAGGTAAATTCAACTTTTCTACTGATCGGGCCGTAGCTACAATTGGTCTTCTAATTAAATTTTGAATGGCGCACTGTTTGTTTATTCCAATTTGTAAACTGAAGGTTATGATCCCGTGAAATCCACCAGCTCCCGTGTCTTTGTATAAACCAGAGATAGAGCAAATTACGATATACATTATCATTAAGAGGTCTACCGCTGATCTCTCGGTCATAATTCTCTTTTCGAAAGAATTTCATGAAACCCACTTTTGAAAGAATATTAAGTAACTGTGCCACGGTTGAACGTTTCTGTCAAATCGCTACATATACACAATACAATTTTTCACTCTCAGAGGTGCACTGCGCGTTGATTCGTTTCTGGTTCGACATAGTATCAATAGCTATGAGGGTTTTTTTTTTGGTTTTAACTGTTGGCCCTTTGTACGAGTGATGAGGATGGTTCTCACCAAAATTGACAACTACCTTTTCTAGTCTGAAAATGGATATGGTCTGTCAAATTTACACGATGATGTGATAATCGAGAACTGTTACAAACACGTTAAAGCCACGTGTGATAACTTTACCAACACGTGCAGTTGATGAGATCAGAGTATTGCATTTATTCACAAGAGGAATGTGAAGAACTCGCCGAATGGATTGACTTCAAGAAGCTGAACGTTTAAGGTGAAACGAAGCAAGAAGTTGCGTCTTGCCCAAAAGCAGCTGAAAGTTTAAAGTGAAGCGAAGCAAGAAGTTGCGTCTTGCCCAAAAACAGTTGAACGTTTTGAATACCAACGGATGGACGAGATTCGTGATACAGATAAGATAATTGTGGATTGTTTTTCTCAGGCACCTTCGGACGCTGGAGCAGCTTTTAAAATAATGCGGTGGCTGCTCGAGATGCCACAGCCAAGGTAAGTCTTGTATTTCGTCATCACAGATATTGTGACATCAAAGAATCCAACGTCACTAGTATGACAGCCGCTAATGTGTCCGCCTCTTATTCTTGGTTGGAGGGCCAACTTGGTCAATCGCTTAGGGCGTAGAGAGACGGATCAAAGTCGTCTCCAATCTCCTCTTGAATTGTAAAATGAGGATTGGTTACAGTCTGATGCAAATGTTTAGATGTCATTAAGATGCTAAGTAAAGATGGAGATGTTTTTCTTTGAAAGGCAAGAAAGATATTCTTGAATCAGATTCATTCATACGTCAAAAGCTACATCCACAACTCTCTTGAATATAACAAGATGGAGTAACCAAACGACTAGACAATCATACGAAAGCCAAGCATACCCAGTCTGCATCGGCATGTGTCATCTGTAGGTTATGAGAGTATGAATACTAGGCAGAAGCGTAATACTTTCAAGCTTAACAAGTTACTACAACGGTTTTGTGTTACTGATAATTTCCAAACCTTATCTAATTAAAAAATGTATAATTCAATCAATGGATTATAAGAAAAAAATAGATAAACACATAGATAGACAAGCTATGAAATATCAAAGGAATTTGAATTCTTAATTTCAAACCTTGATTAAATTAAGTTCAAATACTTTTTAAATTGGATGAAATATGTATATATACCTATGCTCTGCCATCAAAGACTTGAATTTTCAATACCTTTCATCTTATAAAAATCAATTTGAAATGATAAAAATTCCAAATAGAACAGAAGTTAGTCTTCAAATCTCATCGAGGATTAGATACATTACAAATGTTGTGCCTTAACGAATATGTACTTCATCCTTGTTTGGCTTTTCAGCCAGGAAAATAGTAAGACGATTTGGGTTATAAAAAGTTAAACTTATTAAGTATATATCAACAGACAAGGAAGACATAGCTTATGAGTTCATTTTCATTAATCGTGATAAACCCTCTTTTGCAATGGAACATCATATTGATACCTCAACTACAGAAAAACTCTACAAATTGATTACAAAGACCGTATATTGCATTTGTGCACATTTTTTTCTTCCCAAATAGTGACTATCATTGATAACATTGTTCACAAAATGATGAAGATTTGTACCATAAATTTTGATTGTATGAACTACAGTAGAGTACTACTTTATCGGGTAGTGATAACTTTCCCAACATAAGTATTAAATAACAATAACATAGAAATTCTTTTTTATTGTTTTATTGGTTTAGGACATTTGATAAGGCTGTCGCCTTCCTTATAAGCTTCACAGGAATCATAAAATACTCCTGATTGCAATATATATCGAAGTGAACATGGTCGTTCAAGCATTGTTCGCTCAAGTGCTTTCAAGGGACTGCATGCACAAGACGTAACCTACAGATCGTATGGTCAAACATTAAAAAAATAATAGTCGTTCAGTTCTAAAATCGACGAAATTCATAGGCCTTTCCTTTCGACTTTGATAAAGTGATAAAGTTCCTTGGCAGTGCTTCCTTGGCCTGCCTGCCTGATCAACCACAGCTTTCATCGAGAAAGTTGAAACAGGCGAAGAGCTCACGTACAAGTGACGCATTGATGTCGCCCATGAGGGACTTCATGCATCGCTTCCTGCGTTGGTTGCATCGTCAGTGAGCTGTGCGCAGGAATGGTCAGAAACAGGACTTAAATTCTTAGAGGGAGGGGTTTTGTGGAGATCAAGTGTGAGGAGGGTGGCGGCGCCGTCGAAGAGATGACGTGCTCGAGTGTACTGTACAGCAACGAGCATGCAATGTCCATGTCTTCGTGGAGAGTGCTCGATCTGCCACTGATCCGGGTAATCCAGTTCGGGTTTTGAGAGAAATTTCGCGTAGATCTGTCAGCCCACAGAGATTCAGAAATCGCGCAGGGATGATATCAATGCCCATTCATCCTCTGCCTTCTCTGTTTTCTCCGAGGGAGTTCAGGATGTGCTTGGAATACTCGCCAGTCTTGCTTTCATTCCGTCTTCGATCACTTACACAAGAAGGACGTGACCTTCATTTTCTTTTATCTGAAATGACGTCTTTCGAGGCTGCACTGAGAGTCTACGTGACATTCCAGTGCACCTTTGTTTGACCCGTGCCCTCTAATTGCCTGTGCGACTTTGGCGATTGCTGACAACAGGAGAGGTAATTGATCAGTCCCCTGTTCGGTTGACGATATCAACTTGAAAGTCCCGCATTGACTAGTTTTTCCGAGATCGACGAGTGTTTTGTGTGGATCTGCCTATCCCGAAGCAGCTAATTGTTCATGTTGTATTCCAATCGCATGGCTTACTCTTGGCCGTTTCATGGCTACCACTGGATGATCAGCTGACTCGGGATGATTGAGTGTAAGGAGCTGTTGCAAATAAGGTTGTAGAAAGCTGCAAAACAATTCCAAGTCTACTTGCAGAAGATACAGAAATGAGTTAAGAAGAGTAAGGACTCTCATAGTGACACCAATGTTGCAGATACAAGGTTAACATTTAATATGTCCAATAAGTCGGCTCTCTGGTGGCGACGAACCGAAGGCAAGGCGAAAGGTCTCCATTTCACCACTACGTGAATTGTGTCAAACCATCGACAGGGATCGCCCTGCGACCTTAAAAAGCTACTGAAGAAGCTTGGAATCATCTTTCACACTGCATCATATCTAAAGATAATCCAACACAAATGAGTATTTGAAATGTCTTTTCTTCTCGACAAACATGAATCGGACTATCTCTTCGTCAAGAGCAGAAAAGGTCGGTAGAATGACAGAGAATCCCTGAATCCCACGAATGTGTGATACACATGGAAAACCTTACTCTATCGTAACATATTCAATGTTAAACAATTATGATCACTTTAAGATGTGAAAACATCTAGCTGAAGAATGTGAGCTATGGTGATAATAATCTTCCGTATAATGTGACCTAAAAAATGCATACTAGTTTTTAACACATACAGAACTTAGTTTATAATTACTACAAACTTTATTAACATAAAAAATTGGCCGGTGAGTTCGTTTCAATGTCAAAATTATGTATTGGAATCTAGACCTTCATCTTAGAACTATCAAAGTAATCGCAAATTACCACTTTTTGGAGTTCTATGATTTCAGATATATTTTGCATGATTGCTGCAATTAGTACAGTGTTTTAAAGCTACTTCAACTTGAGAGTAATAGAAAATATCCATAAGATAGGAAGGACGAGGTTATTGGAATCTTGTAACTTCTAGCATATATGCATTCGTGATACAAATCATAACTACAACTATCATATATTTGCATCTAGGATTGATGTTTCTGATGTCATTTTTTATCAAAGAAGCATTTATATTTCTTACTATTTGGACGGGGAGAAGGCAGCGTAACAATATCCATATGAATTTTTCTTGTACCTAAATATTATAAGATAGATAAGAGTTGGAAACTTATTTTTCATTTAAATCTACAGAGCCGCATATAAAGTATATCACCGGAATACATGAACATCTCCTAAAACACTATACTTTGCAACAAGTGTATGAAAAATCAAGAAACTTGTAACGAAGAGACGACACACGCTATTGGGCATCTTAAATCGTATAGAATCTAGTAAGATTTCTGAAAGGTCTCAAACATCAATTGCGTCCCAAGCAACGGTTCTGTTGAACTAAATTCATCCATACATGTCAGAATGAGTGTTTTCCAATTGCAAAAGTGAGTGTGAAATAAGCCATCAATCGCAATAATCAATCATGTAGGACGCTCATCATGTGTACAAGGAAGCTTTATGTTCTTTACTGACATGTAAAGCCCCGAAGCATTGGAGCTCATCCTGGATCATCATGAGATAGATAGCGAGCACAGATCGTGTATCGATCATCATTCGTCTTCTACACCTGATACTATTATCTACTGCGTACTGAGATGGTACTGCATTCTAATCTGGGTTAGTTGTATCCATGTACACGTAACCTGCGTCGTACAAGTTCACTAATTTCTCTAGGTACATATATACAACCACTGTACATACTCAGTCAAGTCTCTGGAACTAATAAGTGAGATATTTGTGGGGTACCCTTGAAGGGTAGGGGCCGATCAATGACCGATTCCGATTACAGTATACAGACTGTAACACGAGACATCGGGGAGTCCACATATTCCTTATGTGTTAGAGAACCATGAGATATGGTTCTATCTGTACGAACTGTACTGTCGTTTCAGCGAGTGTAATAATGCAAGCTATGAAAGTGTTTCTCGTAGCCTTGTCTACGAGATAGGGCTTTCCTCTCTGGTCCAGTCTCCTGAGCAATGGCATTTGGAATGTAGGAAACTGGTGCAAGTGAGCAGAGATTCCGATTCGAGTTTACGACTTACCCCTTCCTCTGCTGTCTGCGGTTCTTGTGGGTCCTTGGTTACGGTTTACGCGTTGATTGACCTCTCAACTCTGGGTAGATAGGAAGAAAACACGTTTGCGAACTCACTTGCTGTATTAGGCTTCGTTTTCAGAATAGGATTGTGCTCAAAGAAATTGGCCGGCTTGAGCTCGAAGCCTCCTGTTACCGTAGGCATAATTGGAAAGTCTTCCTGTACTGGGACATGATGAAAACCCAAGGTGTACCATAGAACAATGTCCTCGTTTACAATCTTGCGGTTCCTGCGCACGTAGACGGGCATCAAAACACAGCCAGCTGAATCGAAAAAAGCTTTCCAGAAGGGACCTAATCAGGTTTTCGATCCAGTTTTTTTCTCGCGCTCTGAAATTTAGTAGCTATAGATTCACTGTGTGAAAGAATCTCACCTGCTAGACCAAACTGCTAGCGTGTCATCACCGTGACTTTGATAAGTGTACTGACCACCGGCATATTTCTCGTCCTTATGGTATTGGGTGACCCAGATCTGCGACAGACAGGATAGATCGTCAGAGGATTCTAGGCTTGTTATCAGCTTAATTACTCGCATAAATGTACAAAAATCAATCATCCTCCACTATCCAGTAATTCGTTTCACTTCCAAGTTTCGAATATACTGCAAAGTCATAAGAGTAGACGGTTGAGGAACAACGAGTATGCAGTTGAATGGGTTACCTGGTTATTGATGAAAGCACCGCGCAGTGCTGGGAAATCAGCTGAATCTAACAAACTTGCCGCAGTACCGCCTGGTACCAATCGGTAACTGATGTCATTGCCCAACCTTGTGGTTTTCTTGGAGTTGATCACCGCAAACTCTGAAGGCGCTACTAAGCTAAGCTTGATCCTAGCATCTGCTTCAGTTTGGGCAACATGTTTCTCCACATCCCAATAGCTCTTCCTGTCAGGATTGACGATGAAGTCATGTTAATCAAGAGCACAAACTCAAGGTCCATATAACAGATAATATATTCTCATTCTCATGAGCCCGTCTGTATAAAAAAAATTGTATAAGTTTTACAAATGACAGGAATTGAGCACTGTGTGAAACTGGATCCAGTTTTATCGACGCAGGTCAGTAGTCAGTCAGCATATTCATTCATAAACACCGAGACTTCGGGCATACTTTGGAGACAGATTGAGCAACAATCCAAAGTGAGCGGTCAGAGATTCCACCTGGGAACGCCGGAATTGGGTGTGATGTGGTGAGTTTTCATCTTCGATTCGACGAAGGAATTCTCGGAGCCATCGACGTCGAGATCCAGATAGTAAGTCAGGAAGTGATCGTGGGTCACGCCGACAACGTTCTCCGATATCAGATTGCCATGCAGCTCCTCGCCGTCAGCACCTTTCCCGTTCTCCACGACTGTGGTCTTGGTCCCCCTCGGCATGACCATGCCGGTCAACCCCGCCTGCATCACACACGACGACGATGACGACATGAGATCAAGCCCTAATGCACTGAACTCAACCCCCAGCTCAGATCCGACGTCGGGATGGGCACGAAAGCTTACCGTGGCGCGGATCAGACCGTCAGTTTGGAACTCCCAGTCGAGGAGGTAGTCGTAGTTGCCCACCGTGGTCACCATTCTCACGACCAGAGTCACCTTGGGCCTCACCTCCGTCACCTGTAATCATCGGTAAACGCCACGTCATCAGGTGTCGTGATCATTGCACCCTCTGGCTCTGGGCCCATAATGGTGCTTCGGGCGCAGAGCCCACGTGGCAGAGTGTCTTTCCAAAGTTATGGGAACGGTTTTCCGCGCGACACGTCGACGGCCACGCCGGTTGGTCCAACGTCAGAAAGTCTCCCTCGAATAAAGCGCCGGGCCATCGGCACTCTCGGGTGCGCGTAGCGTTGCATCATTCCCCTGCCCATCGGTGCAGCTCCTCTCTCGATCGATAGTCAAATTGAGAGGTTTATCGAAAAATCAAAATAATTAGAATAATTGTAATTAAGATCAAACGTAAGCCTGATTCGAGCTTAAGTGGAATCGTGGTCCAGTGGCTCGAAGAAGAATGGCCATGAGAGCTCAAGAGAGCGCACGACGGGAACAGAGCAGGGCATGAGATGGGCTCGAACACAGATCGGAGATTGGGAGGCACATGATGATCGATGGGCAGGCCGAATCAGACGACGGAGCTTCGAGACTCATCGTGAGTTTCACGACGGAGAGTGCTGGTCGAGGTTGGTTCTCTTAAGAATCATCATCAGCATCAAGTGAAACCCTGAGCGAGCTCACTCACTCACTCACGCACTCATGGCAGGAACGGTGACAGGGTCAGGCTGGTCACGTACCGTTTTGCCGTCGATAGCGAAAGTCTCCGTGTGGCGCCATGCGACATCTCCTGCGTAGCGCTCGAATATGCAGATGGCGTTGCGTTTAATCATGGGCACGCCCGAAGGTGTGGAGAGGACGGCGTCCAGGAAGTAAGCATGTCGAGGGCAGTCGTTGAGCGGCTGGAGGGCTGACGAAACAGCTCCGAGCCCATACTCGCCTGCAAAACCATCACGCACGACGATCATCAGCTTCCTGTCCTGTCAAAAACTCTTGTCGACTGAGAAGCGTCATCATTGCAAACTCTCGACACCGAGGGCCGCCGTGCTCCTCTGTCCTTTCTCCCAAGAGTTGGCAGTCAGTTCCGTATGAGGCCCCTCCTCCGTAATCCTCGAGACATGAGAAAAAGCAGCTCTGGAATTCTGCTATGCCGTCAATTGGCGAAGGGACGACCCCAAAGTACACCGATGTCCGCATTCGGTTGGGCAGAAGTTTCGATTGTGGGCCCTCGCTGACTGTCATGTAGTTACACGTGACGAAATCTCCTCAAACTTTGGAGGAGTGCTGGCCAGCACTTGATCAAAGATTCCGAGGTGAGTCTCAGCTTCGGCATCAAAGCGTCGCGGTGGATCCTTTTCCCCCGGTTGCGGGAGGTAAAGTGGCCGCCACTCTGCAGGATTGCAGGGCCGAGCAGAGCTGCCCAGTCCCGCCTGTCAGCTCCGGTCGTTTGCTTTTGGCCATGGCGTTCATGGCTCCGTATTCTCTCCATGCGGATGCTGTGGCAGCGCAGGTATCTACAGTGTGGGGGCGGCCCTGGGTATAATACTCTACAGCCACCTTCCATAAAACTTCAGCTCTCTGGTGACTGGAGGCGGTACGGGCAACAGCACGAGATTACCAGATCCAGCCTCGGCAGGAACCGATGGCTCCGTCATAAAGAGCTCGGAGCTACATGTATAACAAACAGCAGGTTGCTGTGTGTGATTGTCTATGGTGTGCGTGTGGACCACACGGGACCAAAGTTCCTGGCGGGAATATTGTCATGACTCAGACTGTTTCCTGTGAATGATGTCAACTTCCGACAGGGTAAGTAAGCTTAAGCTTCATGAACTTTGAAGGAAAAGGGGTCACTGTTGTCTCACAACTCTTGGCACTCTGGCTCACGCCGTGTCCTTGCTCGGTTGACAAGAGCAGCCTGTCCTTGGACGAAGAGGACATGCAGAAAAGCTTCTCTCGAACCGCGTCTGGTCGACTACCAGGGTCCGTGCTTTTACTGGACCTTCCTGGTTGTACAAGCACGGAGGATTTGCACCCAGCTACGTGATACCTCTGTTGCGCTGTACTACGTACTGCGAGGAGTCTGCTTGAGTTGCTGAGCGGGTGGCCCTACGGAGAGGTACCATGGGGATGCAGAGTCTTAAATTTCGAACTCTGTTGTGACTCTTCTAACTTTTGTCTGAGAAACACTGTCTTTCCCCCGTCCCACTCATGGAAGGGAGCGAAACTCAGACTTAAGCGTATGAAGTGAGTGAAGAGGGTGTAAGAAATTTGCAAGGACACAACATCGTTGTTCAAAGTCAGAGAGGAGAGAATGGCGCACCTGCGTCCAAGTAAGTTTTGAAGTACCAGTCATCGGTAGGGTCCTGGTATGGCACGAACATCTCTGATACGAAGCCCTTGTACATAACGCTTCTCCAGACTTTCGTCTCGTCCCCATCGGACACTTCAGCCATCGAAATGACAGTTCCTGCGCGACTGTCCATCTTCAAATGAAATCGCCAGATGTCACCCCACTGAATCTGGTATCCGTCGATGGTGAAGCTGGGTCCATTTGGCTGCTCGATCGATATGATTTTCAAGGGGGGCAACAAAGGGTACTGAGCTTCCAATTTGTAATCAGTATTCTGGCTCCCTGGAATTGGAACACCTTGCCAATTGTCGCTGAACTTGTGCACCTGTAAAACAAAAGATGTAGCAACACATTACTTTCAGGCACGCTTTGGATAAAAGTTGTTAATGTCCTTCTGAGATAAGTTTCACAAAGTACAAAATCCAAGTGACCAAAAAAAACGAAAAAGGCTTTATCGTGACTGTCATCTAGACAATCAGAGGTGGAATTAGTCGACAAGACAAGCAGCAAATTCAGACCTTGCACAATTCTGACTCACGGTTAAGAGAAGAGAATTCAGAAGAATCTGTGTTAAATTTCGTTCTGCCTAAGAATAGTCATCTTCACTGTGCTGATCTCAAGCTTGACATAAATTTGGATACATTTCGTTAAATAAGAGCAGGAGGCTTTACGAAAGCGTCTATACGCAGCCTCGTCACTGTGAACCTTGCTCATAGTGTAGACAGCTTTCAAACTCCCCAATTTCTGATGGGAACCCGTGAGATAAACTTCGGCTGTATACGTGTTCATGTACGAAGACATTCTTGACCTGCTCACTTCTGCTTCTGGAGCAGATTGATGTGCTTGCCTGTCCTATACAGAGAATTAAACGCCTATTCTGAAACGATGTTCAAAGAGATCCCCTAATGAAGACGCCCCGTCAGAACCTTCAGAAGAAGGATAAGAGTCACAAAAACAGAGTTCCCGGAATACTAGACGATCAAGACTTTCATGAAGAAATAAATGGACGTACTCCCTTTGACAGCCGACACTGCTCCGACTGCAACCTGAGTCATCGGTTGCCCATCGATGTCGACCATCAGAGTGATCCCAGCAGTGGGTATAGAAACTTTGGATATCATTAGTATCGAGGCTCGTGGAGGAAGACATACTTGACCCGTATGCCTTTCTCCAGGAGCATAGTATGCTGAGAAACACAGTGCAGAGCAAAAAGTTGGAATTCTGGCCTGTTCTACAGTTGACTCTGGATTGGTTGTGGTTAGAAATTCGTCAGCTCATGCGAGTAAAAACATATTTCTTACGAAGTCAGAACTTTCACCTCAAGACGTAGAAAATGGAGCAAGTTCCTGAAAGGTTAGCAATTCAAGCTTTCGACTGAGCTACGAAGAGAAGAACGGGTCTTTCCAGTCTATTCTGCTCCAACTGCAAATTGTCACAACCGATGATCATCGATGTCGACTATGACAACGACTCCAGCAATGGGTCTCGTAATATTTGAGATCTGATATGTTTGTGCACAAGGAGACAGACATACTTCGCCTCTTTAAGTGTGATTCCCATGGCAATGAGGAGCTGTCAGTAGAAGTTGTGAACTGTTATATACCTCGTTTACTAAGTCGGACAGGAAATCCGTTGTTACTTCTGAGTAAAGGGAATTCCTAGTTCCCGTCAGAACTTTGGGACAAAGAGGGCCTCGAACATTACAGAGCTAGTTCTCGGAATGTAAGAAGATCAAGAATTTAACAACGCGTTTGTCAGCCACGACTGTAACTGTCTTACCCGTTGCTCATCGACGTCGACCTGCACAGAGATACCAGCAATAGGTCGCATGTAGAAATTCTCGGTGCCGTTGCTGTAAAACACTTGCACGGTGACAATGCGTTTCCCTTCATCATCAGGCACACCGTACCAGCCTGGACTCAAGGGTAAATAGTTTACTTGCTGGAGATTCAATCCTCTCGTGATCAGGCTCTGGAGAAAAGGTTCATATTTCGAAACAATCGAGGCTAGCAAGCCCACTTCGTATCGGTTCAGTGCTGTTCCACCGTATCCCTCGTAAACTTCACTCGACTCAATCTCCTCAGTGTCGAGGTTGACAATGATCTTTCGGACGACTTTGTCCAGCCTTGTCACAACGACAGCTTTACGAGGAGGGAGTTTCTTCCCCGGCGCCCATGCCTTCACATCTGCCTTTTCAGGCTCGTCAACCTCCAATGAAGCGATGACGTTGCAGTCTGCAGTTGACGTCGAGCACCACAGCGAGGAGTTGGCGAGAATAGATCTCACGGCCAGATGTTCGCCAACACTCAGAGGATCCAGAGGATGTTTGTGAGCTACGGACAAGGAACAACAACACACCAGAAGCAGCACGAACCCATAGGACAGCCTGCTTGACGAGCCCATGACTGTGTACATCTTTGCGAAATATTATTCGTGCAAGGAAACACGAAGAATACTCTGAGTTCAACTGACTGTCAAGTGACAGGTTCGATCGCTGGCTTGGAGATTGCAGTCCCCTCCTCTCTCATATATATGTGCTCTCACATCGTTGACGTGACTCCGATACATACACGCAGTCTGTGCTTGAAGACGAGCGAATAAGAAACGTAAATAAATAAATAAATATATGTATATATGTATATATATAAATATATGTCAATTATGATATATCAATAAAATATGAGGCACTTTCATGAGCCTTCCGACCTGACTGGACTGGACTCTGACTATAGTAGAGTTTAGATATAGCTCGAGAATTATATTGCTGTGATGTTTTTAGATGAATCCCGGCAGCCAAGCCGAAGTAGGAGACTTCGTAGGAAGTCAAGTTGAGTACTGATACGTGGAATATCTTTGTCAGCTGAGAGGTGTGCATCATCACGAGTTGTCACTCAAGGAGGCCCGGGACTTGTAAAATTTCAGCCAACCAATAAGTTCTTTTTGGTCTGCGCATTTGTCTGTTCATCATCGGATAATCCCATTTTTTTTGCTACGTTGCCCGGGTTTCAGATGTGAGAGCAACCTCAAATCCTAATCACTTTATTTTGACCCATTGATGGACTTTTCCAGGCTTGGTCGTCCCTAGAATGGTGAAGACAAGAGTACTCTTGTTTTCGCGATTCTGGAGACAACCAGGTTGGCGAAATTGTATTTTATTCATTTCAATATTAACTACCACAAATGATGCTCCTCCATTGTTCGTCATCATATTGGCGAAGTTTCATGCTGCACTTGGACAATCATGGTGGTCGATGTACGGTGTACATAATATGGATGGAATGTTTCAACATGTTCGTGGGTCGAGCAGAAGTAAAGCTACGAAGGAAATATTTTTTAGTTAGCTTAGCCATTGCAAGGTCTGGTTTTCTCTCTACGTGAGCCGATCTGACCGCTAACGGATTTGAGATTCTTCATGATTCCAGGGTGTGTTCTTGCATGAAAGTACCTCTCCTACTATTGTGGCTGTTAACGATTCTTCCGTACTGTTGGTATTGTTGGTATGCAGAGAGCCAAAAGCTCTCTGCATACCAACAATAATATACAAGCAATAATATATTGCTCTCAAGCAAGTAAATGCGTCCCAACTTTCATTGATTGCGTGAGTTGCGTGAACTGTATGGTGTCTTAGAACAGAGTGAAAAGGAACGAGCAGTAGTGTTCGATTTGAACAAGAAATCGTATGTCCATTGCGATTCCACGACTATTGGTCATTGAGTGCTCCCAGTCATTGTCTAACTGCCAGCAGATTGACATGTATGAGTTTTTTAGGGACAAAAACACTGTTGAATTCCTGAATCGTTCTTCATCGATTTTTCGCTACTTCGTGATTTGTTTTTGATAGAGTTGCCAGACGTTCATACTGCTGAAAACCCGTTTACTTTCCTGTGTCTGAGAAACTCAATCGCAACAGAAGGAAGAACCGGAAGATGATATGAAGTCGAATCACAGACAGGAGAGGTTACTACTCACAGAGAGCATATTTGTTGCTACAGCGTTTGTATCAGGCATGCACTTATTACGGAGCTGTCATTTAAGTCATAGAAGAAGTAGATCGCTGTTGAAGCTAAAGGCGAGCACAATAAATTTGCAGAGGATGAAATCTGCCGAAGACAAGCATGTTCATCGCGATTACGACCTCTTGGCTGGATCGCCTTTCTCGTTTAGTATTTGAAACGCAAGATGACTAAATCTGCTGTCATCGAGCAGACAGGAATGCATCTGACGACATCGGAGCTCATGCTCTATGAAGAAGTTCGCACAATTGAATCATTAAGCCTGGATGCCTACACAATCTTATGGGCCTGGTTTTACTGCTTGCGCTTGTGAAAATTCTCGACCTCTGAACTGCAGGAGAGTGGAGCCGTCCGCCGTGCAAGACTGTTTCAGTCACAGTCTCCAGATTCTGAGCAAGCAGGATCCATATTCCAGAGAAGTGAATGAAATCTGCCACTCCACGGTGCGAAGTTCAGTTTCTAGTCCCAAGCCTGCCACATGGTCGCGCAGAGGAATGGATGCCGAAGGCCAGACTGAAACAGACGCAGGAGCAGGAGCAGTTGCAGGTGCAGAGCAAAGTCCGGAGCAGCAGCCGCTCGCTTGTGTTTGGGCAAGGAATCTGAGTCCAGCTGTTCCCGCCACTGTCATCGTGCACTTGCTCCGGTGAAGAAGACCGGGGCCGGCCGACATCTCAAGGACCTTGAGTTTAGGACAGGACATCGAATTTGTCTCTCGCCCTTATACAGTACACCCCAAAACCCCGCATGCCATGCGCGTCGTCGTCCCATACAGTGGGAAAGGAGGAAAGACATAGGTCCTCGTCTGCGGATGAAGCCCAATGGCTAAAAACAAAAAAGCAACGGACCAAGTAAAAAGCAAATCCTATGGAAAGACCTACTGTATTTCATCCATCTGTGGGTGGATGAAACCAAACATGTAACTAGGGTAAATGATATAAATAAATATATCTATATAAGTAGTAAAAAAATGCTAGAAATAGAGCAGGCAATATATTAGAAACACTTATATCCCATGCGGCCAAAAACAATAGGTTTTTCCCTCACCTTTGGAAAAATTTCAATGTTGATTCCATTGTCATATATCTCCAATGCTCAAGTAAGAGGTGGTCTTTCTGAATAGGCTTACAACCAGAGAGCTTGACCTAGGCATTACTTCATGAATATTGTTTTAATCTAAGAAAGTTTAACCTACAGGTGGTGATGAGAATTTTTTTCCTTGAGAGAGATATATATCTCTCTTTTCTTCCATCCCTCACCTCTTGCAACTGGAAAAGTAGATATCGTATTATTCAAAATAAACTTCCAATTTTCCTTGCTTTGTGATTTTCTTGTGGTGTCATAAAATATTTTACTGTTCTTATCTTTAGCATTTTTTAAATGTATGTTTGGTTTGATTCAAGAAATTTTAAAGCAAATACTTTTTCGCATCCATCACGTATCCAATTCACCGTTTTCATTTTTGTTCAATATTGAAAAAAACGTATGTTTCTACTTCAAAGCTGCAGCATCAAATAAGTTAATGCCGAAAAAAAAAACATAATTGTGATCTTTATATTCACTCCTTTACATATAATTGAAAATTAAATACGCAAATTTCAAATTTTGTATTCAAAGCTAATTTTGAGTTAAAATTTAGGCAAACAAACTGTAGGTTTTGTACTCAAAGCTGATCTAATTGCGTCAGAAATTCGCTCAATTATAACATTAATTTGTAAGATTTCTAAGTTTACTGTTATTTGTTATACCCTTTTGTTATCTTAAATATTTCAAAATATTATTGAATTCAAAACTTTCTTCTCCTACTTTGAGTCCCCATATCAAAATGTATAGCAAGTCAAAAGGCCAATCCATGCAGATATCCTCTTCAGTCAAGGTTTTTCGATTTTTAGTCCAAACCTTAGTATTTTTTGGATATTTATTTTAATCACAAAAAACTTTTCTAAAAAAATATCAAAAGAAAAAATAGCAAAAAAATTGAAGAAGTCAATGTCTTGGCTCAGATTTTTTTATTTGTGAGATTAAACAGCTTATGAAGAGCTAATGCTAATGAAGCTAATTTATTCATTACTAGAATCTTACTAAGATTCAAACATACTATTTAGACATTGTAGTCATAATTTTTTTTTAACCAATTATGAAAATTATTCATGTTTTAAATTAAAAATATATAGGAAAATAAAAAATCAAAATTTTAAATCAAAATGAATGTTGAAAAATTCAAATCTTCTAATTTTAAGTAGAAAATGATAAATTTTAAAATGAATTTTAAAAAGTTTGAACATTTCGAAAATTAAGATTATTAATACTCATATTTAGATCAGATTTACAAGGAGTGTAAATAATCTATGCTGAAACAATTGATATATTCAGATTAGGTGGTATTTGTAGTCCAATTGATCAACATAAAACATATAGTTTACAAAAAAATTTTAAATAATTTCAATTTTTCATTCTAAAATTTTCTTATATACTTACTGTTATATTTTAAAATCATAATTTTTGTGTTTTATTTAGTATTTTAATTCAAAAATACCAAATCATATTTTTTTCGTTGATTTTTATTCCCAATGCATTGTAAAAAAATCTTCAAAATACATTGTTCATGTCTAATAATGATTCTATGAAAAATAATTATCATTCATATTGTGAATCACGAATCAATCAGCTTCAAATTAACAGCAAATTAGGTGAATTATTTTCACTATAATATGAATTTTAATCATTAAATTAAATTAAAAATTAGAATATCCATGTGTTCATTAACTCAAAACCAACCATAATTAACGTTAACATCAAAAAACATGTTGCATAAATGCACTAAAACCAATCAGCCTCAAATAGGAAAAAAATGAGTATTAGCTTTGTAACAAATCAATTTCATGATCTACGAAAGAGTTGCAAACTTTTTGATTCATTGGAATAAATACGTAGAATAATTAACAGGAAAAGAAAAAATCTTCAATATTTTATATTTTAATTGTACAAATTTTTATTTTTTTTCTAATAATAAAAAATATATATATAAAAAATTATAAAACTTCAAGGATATGAGCTGCACAGTGTCACAAAATGTATTCATATTAAATATCTATATAAGCAACTTTGAGATAATTATATTCAATGCAAGTGAAGTAATAGATATGAAGAGTAGATAGATGGTGTATCAAGCACTACTAGTAACCAAAAGCTACATGCAAATTTTTGTAATATTAAAATTCATTTACGTGCATTATATTGTTAGCAAGTTGTTATTTTGGATAGTGTAGTTTAAGTTTCCAAATGCCACTCACCTACCAAATGATTCCTCCTTAAATAGAGACATAGGAAAAAAAAACTATGACAGAATTGTGATAAGAAGATTATGGTATATCATGCTACGTGCCAAATCAGAATTTCAAACAGATAATGGTATTGAATTTGATAATCAAATTAATAAATATTCATCTATACTTATTTCTAGACTATTATCTCCTGAATCTATAAGAAGCTAGTTGAAAACTTCAATCCATTCGAAACA